TCCCTTCCTGGGTAGGCATAATTCAGCCTAGGTTATTCATGGCTAAGGACAGAACCCTCTCATGAAGGGAGGACATAAAACTGATACAGACCCAGGTCGGATTTGTTTGCTCTTCTCTCTCCCAGAACATGTGACAATGAACACGAGTTCATTTCTAATCTACCCTGTACTAGAACATGTAGCAGAAAGTCATGTGAGATTGGCTGATTTAGGTAGCCATGAGGTGTTGATGGATAAAGCTATAGTTACCACACAGCTTGTCCTTTCCCTCCTAATCCACCTAACCAGACTGTTTTTTGGGTCTATGTGTTTCATCAAAATGCCTCTTATCCTTTGTAATTTCTTATTTTTTAAAAAATGTTTTGTTTTCAACTGAAATTATGTTAAAAAGTTTGTTGTCCCTTAATCTGATAGCTGCAACAGTTCTACATTTCAGATCTGTTTCAGATGAGCTTTAAAAAACCCTAATCACTGACCTAAAGACTCTCTTGATTGACAGGTTGACCGGACAGAAGTCATCAGAACTTGCATAAACCCCATCTTCTCAAAGCTTTTCACAGTGGACTTTTATTTTGAAGAGGTGCAGCGGCTACGATTTGAAGTCCACGACATCAGCAGCAATCACAATGGGCTGAAAGAAGCAGATTTCCTGGGTGGCATGGAATGTACTCTGGGGCAGGTAAAGCCTTTGTGGTTCTCTTGGCTTATTTTTATTGCCGCCTTCAGTCTTTGCTGATTATGGCAGGAAATAAATCTAAAAAACAAATATATAAATAAATAAATATTGACAACTGTGGTTTTCATGCAATATTTGAGATGAAGATTTGAATAATTAGTTTTTTTCTTCCCCAATGGCCTTTTCACAACCCCATCTGGTTTGAGGTGGTCAGGTCTCTATATCATAGTTCCCACCCTTTTTTTAAAAATGTAGTTACAGTGCACAAAAACAAACATCTAATCAGTCAATTATATCCATATTGTATATATTTATCCATATATATCCATATCCATACACACACACAGGTCCTATGAAGTTGTTAAGAGAGTGTGGAACCAGTTACTTTGTGAAAGCCTGTCAGATTCATGCCATGTTGTCTCTTCTGTGTTACTGAATGTTGCATGGGAAAGAGGAATGCAGCTATACTTTTTTATATTGATCTGCATTGACTTAAGTCATATGATATCTCAGCTCCTTTGCTGTTCCTTTGGGATTTGCCTTCACAGGCCAATCTGGAACACTCGAATTGAAGATTGATTTTGTATCTAGCTCTCTGACTTCAGAAGTTTCACTGACCTTTGCTCATCTGCAGTACAAATGGTCCACAGGCCCTGCAGTGATGTATGAAGGGTGGAGGGGGGGTTCAGTACTGCATATATACAGAATCAGCAGAGATGGTGTTATCTAGTAAATAGAGGGGGAGAGAAGGAATGGAAAGATAAAAATATAAAAGGGCAGAGAAAGAGAAAGCAAGAGAATGAGAAAGTACCAGGAAGGAGGAACTGTGAAAGAAAAGAAAATGAAAGGAGGTTGAAGAGCCCAAAAGTGCCATAGGCATCTTGGAAGCCATCTCAATTCTGGCACTGTTACTCCTGTAATGGAGCAAAACAGTATTCAGAATTATGGATAACAGGAATATCATGTTGTAAGATATGCTTATCTGTGATTAATTTTATGGAGGTGTATTCAACCAACTCAATGTTCACACAACACAGATATAAGTAAATTGCATGGGCTAGATGTGTATCATATATAAGCATAACATGTGCTTGGCTAGTTGGCAAACACAGACTACAGGAATGAATCAATCATGGGCTGCAGAAATGTACTGTTATGTTGTCCTGTCCCACATGCTCTTCCAGGCTTGGCATGCTCCAAATCGTTTCTTTGCATCAATGTCATCTGGTTGGACCTAGGAAGTATGCCTTTTCTGCTGTAGTACATGCCCTTTCGAATGATCTTCCCTGTGAAACTTGAATGGCCCCCTGTTAGCTTTATGGAAGGCACTAAAAATTTGGTTTTCTCCCAGGCATTTGGGCTGGATCCTAGATGTGCCAGTCTTGGGAGATGTGTGATATGTTTGATGGCCTGGAATATATGTTTTGTTTTTATTTTTATCACTATTGATTATTGCTTTTAATTCTATGTTAGCTGCCTAAAATCACTTTAGCAAGTTGGGTGACCATAAAACAAATAAATAAGTCTGAGCTGAAGAATGCTATAGGTCAGAACACATAATCCCAGAATTAAAATCCTTAAGGCACATTCTTTGTCAATGTGTATTTCCTAGAGATCTGATAGTTCTTATTCTTCTATACTGGTTGGTATTAATGGAATAGAGGCATAGATTATAATGCATGCATTATGAATTGAGTGGGGTGCTGGTTTGCTTTGAGTCTCAAAGCTGTTGTAATATTCTGGATATTACACAGAAGTAATGATTGGGATAGGGAAAAATCAGTGCCAGCTATAAAAGAAAAAAGGTTCAATCTTCCTGTCTATTTTTTGAACTGGGAAAAAATAACAGCCCAACAGGAAGAAGAGTGAAGTGTCCACCCAGGGTGCAGTCAATAAGGAGATGTAGACTGCTGAAATCAATGAGGAGGCTATCCAGAGGGACAGTACAAGATGTGGAATCACACTGCTGCCAGCGCACTGATCAGCTGTTTGGCAGTCGGTGGTACAGCACAGTGAAGAGATGGAACTGGTAGCACTTCAGGGGCCTTGTGGTATGATTTGATGAGTCAGCCCCGGCCACACATGGACTCAGCTACACGTGCAAAGTTCGGAATGGTTCAGAATTGTTTGAGCTTGCTCTGGGGCAGTTCATGTCTCCAACCCCTGTACTTTTTTATCCTGCAGGAACTCACAGTTGTTTGTAGTATTGTTGTAGCTGGTTCATAATTATTCTGAATTTCATAAAGAAATGTGAAGTGGGGTACCCGTACCAACATGAAATGACATTGACCCAGCCGAGCTCACAAAGAAAATTTTTAAAAAGCAAAAGATAAGGTAATTGAATGTTTGGCTATATTGAGAAATATATAATGCCTTCAACTTAATGTATAGTTAACAAAAAATCTGAAGAAATGCAAACTAGTGTATCCAAACCACCTATACTAGAAACAACACAAGATTTCACAGGACTAAAATATGACAATGAATAATCTTCTATAAGCATTGACAGTGGGGAGGAGAAATGTAATATTAGCAAGAATCAACACCAACAGAAAAAAAAAAAAACCTAGAAGAGACACTAGTAAAGACCAAGTTTTTGATGAAGAAGAGAAAGTTAATAAAAGTTTTAATTTATTGTATATCACTGCTTGGCCAATACTAGTTCCAGACAACTTGAGAGTTAATCTAGTTAAGAAGGGAAGTGAACCTCTTCTGAATATAGATGGCCCTTTCTCTGCAGGTCAATGAGAAAGATAAATGAGCAAAGAAGCAGTTGACACTTGGGAACTTCATAGTTTTATAAATCTTTACAAAATTGTGAAAAACTGTTGAGAACTTGGATGGTTTCTTTGAAACCAAAAAAAAAAAAAAATCTTTTCTGGGTTATCTGTTTTTCTGGTGTGAAGTTTTGGATGAAGTTAATCAGTCACAAAGATATCTGCAAACAGCCAGAATCAGCCTTGAACAACGTACAGTGAAACTCCAAGCTTTAAAACTGTTCCTTGAAGATTGGGGCACAGAAATTGTGGAGAAGGCCATTTACTATCCAACTGTAAAATGTAAGGGAATGGATATTAACATGGAAAAAAGGATCAAATTTGAATGAAAAATGCCAGGAGCAATGATAGACGATGCTGGTCATACAGTGCCAAAAGAAATCAAAAGGGCAATGTGTGAATGCCTTGTCTGTTTTCACCAAGAGCTGGACATTCATTCTAAAGAAATGGATCAAATAATGTCAATTTTCATAATCATTCAACCACTTTCTCTGATTTTTGCAAAAGAAAAACTTTGGAAGTTTTTATCAAATGCAATAGAAATTTATGACAAATTTTTCTGTGAAGATAGTTTAGTGGAAATTTTTAAAGTGTGGAGACATTTAAAAGCCACTAGAATCTATCCCAAAGAAACAGACATGTACACTTTTGTAATTTCAGGGGTGTATTATAAAATGGGATTTTTATGAATTTCTACCAAACTTGTCTTTATATTTCCTAACTTGTCAACCTGTTCCTTCATGTGAAAGAAACTTTTCAAAATTAAAATTAATAAAAAGTGTTCTTTGGCCATCTATGATTGAAGATAGATTGACAAATCTGGCTATGTTGTCCATTGAACATAAATATGCAAGGAAGATAAATTTTGATGAAGTCATCAACAAATTGGCAGACGTTAAGGCTCAAAAACAGAAAGTGTAATGTTATATAAATAATGTATATATGAAGTTTAATAAAATAAACTTTTCACTGTCTGTGTTTCTTCTGGCCATTATTATTCGTGATTATGATTTCATGATTATTACTGAAAACATATTTGTAGTATAGAGAAGAGAGGTGTTAAAAACTGATCTACTCCAGATGTCAAATACCTTAATATGCCACTGGTGGAGATACACACAAAAACGTGGCCCAGCCATGAAGGTGATTGGTGCTAGGAAGCTGATCATTCAGCCCAAAATGGAAGTTTTCTAACTAAACTGCTAAGAAGGATTCAGTGGCTGTTCTAAGTTGGTGGGGCCAGTCCTGGGACTGAGAATACTTCAAAGTCAGGGTGGTACTTTCAATAAGATATTAGCAACCTCTTCTAGTGGTGAGCAGCATCAGATGATTTTATGAAATGCTAATGTTTAATTGTCACGGGAGCCTCTTTCTTTCTCTTATACATACACATACATAATTCTTGAAATTCTTTTAGATTTTCTTTTTTTAAAAAATGTATATGCCAAGTGGACATAATCCAGTAGTATATGGATGCACAATAGATGGCTCTCATTATTGACCGTGCTGGCTGGAGCTGCTGGAAGTTGTGGCTCAGTGTTGTATGGAGGACCTCATGTTGTCAATCCATCTAATAGTGTCACAGTTGCAGCCCCGTGCTGTTGATCCTTGCATGTGGAATTTAACAGCTCCTGTCCATTTGAATAGGTTTATCTACATAAGCTGTGCTTGGTTTTATTTGGGGTTTGACACATATGGGGTCCTAGCAAGATTTTCCTCAGGCTGCTGTTGTCAGAACCTGCAGCAATAAAAATTTATCAAAGCAACATTTACAAATCATTTGTATATAAATTGATAGGTGCCATTCAACTTTCTAAGAACCAGTTTTTCCCAGCATTGCAGAAAAAGCATTAAAGCTAGATGTTTTGACAGCCAGGCGGCTTTCAAGAAAATCTATTCATTCAGCCATATCACAATCCTGCCATGATGCCTGACCCCTGAACTTCCATTTTTGAGGGCCTCTGTATTTCATCTGTCAGTTGCTTCTAATGTGTGCTCCTTAGTTGCAATGTGCTTACTTAGAAGCCAGCAAGCTGATAGGGAATTTTTACACCTATAAATAAGCAATAAACATGATGTATAATTGATGGCAGCTTCCCAAAGTGACTAGTTTGGAAGCACATCTTAGCATGCATATTCAAAGGGCAGTTTAGTGCCACCATAAATTGATTTCCTCTCAATTACATAAATGATGTCCTGCAATCGGTAATTATTAATTACTCTTGAAGGAATTGATGAAGACATTTAACTGCCAAATGGATCTATTTTACTTCCCATTTGATAACTGGGAGACCACATAAGAGGCATTTCTGTCCTGAAATTGTTTGCTGTGGCAACATTACACAAATTGCCCTTCTTTAAAAGGAATGAATGATACAATGATCAAAATAAGCCCAGCTGTTCCATTTATGAAGAAACTGCTTCTGTGTGAGTATATATTTCAGCATTTTAAGCTCCATCAGAAATCTTTTAATGCATTTTACTGACAGATTTGTAATCTGTCCCACTTTAATTGTATTATTTACTCCCCTTCCCCCCCCCCATCTGTCTAGGAAGTTGCTCAAATTGGCCAAAATAATCTTCACTCATTTTTTCCCCTTCAATCTGTGCTGTGATGTAGGCCAGAATTAGCCAGATCACATTGCAGCTTGTCCAAGATCACACATTTTAATGACATCATTATGGCTTGCAAAGTATTGACTTTGGACTCCGACAGGGAGACATGGGTTCAAATCTTCAGTTGGCCACAAAGCTGAGCCAATTAGTATATTACAATACCACTGATTCAAAGTATTATTTTGAGGATTTAAAATCAGAAGTAGGGTGGAAGAAATATCATACATATTGTCCTCCCCTTAGCAGAGGAGAGAAGGAAGATTAGCATCTAAACCAGAGGTGGACATCCTGAATCTTCAAGATGGCATGCCAAACACAAGATATATGCAGAAAAAAAAATGAATTCTTGTTTAATGCAGCAGAAGGGGACAATGATTAAACAAATGGGCATTAACCTTAATAATTGGTTTTACTGGATTTAATTGTAATCAAATGTAAGTGTAAAAAATTAAGATGGCCCTAAATTGAGCTCCATTCCTGGTGGCTGCATCCAGGCAGTTTTCCTGACAGTGTTACAGAAGTAGATTGCTTTTTTTTAGACTTCCCCAGGCTAGCCAGCAGGCCTGGAATATTGACAAAAATCCCCCCCAGAACTAACCAGGACAAGCTGTTTGGCTTTCAAGATCAAGTGAGTTGAGTTTGCTGCTGCCACCTGCTGGAGCAAATTTAAATATATGCTGTATTAAATTAAGTCAGATTTAATGTTTGATATGGTTCCCTCTAATTTTTGGTGGGCTGCCCCTGATTCAACTTTCAAAAGCTGAGCATAACCTTTGGCTCAAAAATGTTGTGTACCTCTATTCTAAACTTTCATTCTGCTCTCATATGAGTATTATATAAAGCTAATGTAGCTACATCAAAAAAAGTCTCCCCCCATTATGTTGCAAGTAAATTATCAATTTTTCCTCTAATGAATGACAACAAATAGCAGTAATTTTTCTCAGAGCTAAAGTGTTCAATAGGTGTTTTTAATGGATTTTTAAAAACAAACATGAACATTTGTGTTGATCTTGCATTTAATGTTTGTCTCCCAGTGGCTAGATAATAAACTTTTGCTTTCTAAGCCTCCTTTTTTTTTGGAGTTTTCTTTCCTCTGCTATAGCAGCTGTTGCTTATATTGATTTACTGCTAAGCTGCTGGAAAAGAAAACAGGTGCAGGTCATATTTTCTCTAGGAAATTAAGTGAGCATATGACAGATAACTGTGGAAGCAGAGAATGACAGGTCTGTAGATCTTTTAGCTATATTATAGAAGGTGGTTCCAGAGCGTAACAGTGATGTCTAAGTAGAAATAAAATAACTGAACTCAGAGCTTCTGAGCTTCTCTCTGGCTACAGCAAAAGTATGGAATTCTCTGCCCCCTTTCTTGTGGTGATTCATATATTCATCCATATGTTATGGTATTTAACATAGGAATTTTTCACCAATTACTCTGGATTATTGCTCCTATAGTTCTATTTCGCTTTATGATTTTGAAACATATTCTATAATATTATGTGGCATAGATTTTTAATTTTTTTTTGTTAATTATTCAGTAATTATATGCATGCATGCATAGACATACACTGGAACTTGTTTGATCAAGTTCCCTCTTTTTATTTTATGCAGATTGTTTCTCAGAGAAAACTCTCCAAATCTTTATTGAAACATGGCAACACAGCAGGAAAATCTTCCATAACGGTAGGTCTATCTGCAATAATGTTTCCTCCTTTTAAACTTGGGTGAAAAAAGAGTAATGTTTAGCAACATTAGCTTTGTCCATCTTTGCCAGATTTTAAATGCAAAGCCTTCGTGGGCATATGTCCATTATTTTCCAAAACCTGATAGTAATGAAACATAGCATGTGTTTAAAAATATTTCTGTTAACTTACTGGATGGTAAGTATTATCTGCTGTTCACAAAATGTAACAATACCTGTTGTAGATTAATGTCACAACCAGGCAGAAAAGCAGATAACTAGCTTTATATACTCAAAACTGTGTGGCCAATAGCCAGGAACTACATCCGTTGTTACTCAAAATAACTGAAAGGCACTAGGGTACATAATCCTTCAATTTCAGATCATCAATGGTTATCTTTGGGTTATAGAACAATAACATAATGGAAATTTTCCTGTACTCTTAACCCAAACAATTTCCCTTTTAAACCCTAATTTGACCTCACCACATGTAATTCTTAGTGAAACTTTCACTTCTCAGTCTTGTTTTTACAACTTTGAAATCTGAAAAGTACTACTGTATTGAATTAGGTACACTTGGGTTAAATTTCTGGTAAAGTTGTCATCCCAGGAAACTATATTATTTTCATTAGTTTCCCATTACCTGAAGAATGGATTAATCAGTAATATAATAAATGCAACATTTTAAATTATAATGGGATTGAAAATTGTTGTGGGGATCTGTAACCTAGTTAAATGAGCCCCATGACCTGAAATCTATCATATAAATGAAATTAGCGTTTGTCACCTCAGCAGTGAGCCTGGAACCGCAATTTTGTCTGCACTAGGACTAATCAAATGCCCAGCAACATTTGCCTGAAAAATATGAATGGAAATATTTGAGATCAGAAGCCAGCCTTGATTAAACTGGTGTCTTCAGTGGTGCCCACCAATGGAGGGGCACTGATCAACGTCTGTGGATGGCATGAACAGAAGGGGTAGGGTTTCGTTCACAAGTCTGCCCCTGGGATTCTTGTAGCTATTGACCCTTCTCAGCAGACACTCCGGAGTGCCTGTGTGATGCTTTGGATACAGTTTTCAAAATTCCAAACAAGCACCAGTTTATTAGTTAGGCTAACATAAGATTAGGATAGCATATCTGGAAGGCATCTGGTTGACAAAGGCTTCTGTTAACTTTAAGAAAATAAACGCATATTCACACAGTAAGGTAGCAACAGTTTTAATTTTTTTCTAAGTAGAGATTTTAATCAAAGGAATGCATATCATATACCTTAAAGATGCTTTGTCAGCTTCTAAGTGCCAGAGTGAAAGGACAAATAAATTCTGTACTCTCATAACTCTCCTTGAGTTGGTGTTCTGTGCAGTTGAATTCTTTCTTATCCGGGCAGGGAAAAAACAAAATGCAAGAGATCATGTGAGTTATATCCATAACGGAAATGGACCATTTGCTGCATATAAATTGCCCATTTGCAGAACAGTAAAGAATATCCAATTTGTCTTTCCAAGCATGTGAGATTCTTTAAGATTTTTATAGGCATGTGACTGAGCAGACTGTCCTGGATGACAAAATTACAAATTCTGAGTATAAAACTCCAACTTGTAAGCATATAATGTCATCTCTGTGTTCTCCAACTATCTCATTGTTCTTGAATGCATGGAGAAGGAACAGGAGTGTCTACTGCTCATCTCTCCAAGCTACATTCAAAAAATTTAGCCATGTGGAAGCTGTTTTCATGCATTTAGAAGAAACTAAGTATTGAGTATGGCCTGCAGATATGTTTCTGCTCAGCCCATGTAGTTCTATTTGTATTGCTCTCTTCACGTTTCGGCATGTGCAGAGCTATGGGGCAACAGTTAAGACCCCAAACCACTGTGTATTTCAAATCATAGACAGATTGAAGACAGTTCATTGGCCAAACATCAATCTCAAAGCCATTTTATCTGGTTCCTGATGGCTCTCTCATGTTCTGCTCAAGATGTAGTTGAAATCCTTGTTTCACTTATAAAATAAATAATATATTTCAGGTAAATGAACCTTTGGAGTGAATTCACAGTTGCACATTATAACTCTCCATAGATATTATATGTAATATCTTAGCAACTTTCTTTAAAAGTTTTGGCTTTTAACTCCCATAGGCCCTTAGCCAGCATGATTAATCCCATGATTGATGGGCATTATAAGAACTGAAGTCCAAGATCTTTGGAGTGTGCCAGGGTGGAAGAGAGGGACCACAGTTGTGCTTGAATTAGAGAAGAGGACCTTGAGGAAAAGTGTGTTTAATTTTCATTTAAAATGAAAATGAAACAAAATGTCTATTTGTCTGTGCCTTCAAATTACTCTGGATGTTGGGTTGCAACAGTGCAACAATGCATAATACATAATATATATATAATATAATACTATGATATTATAGTATAATATAATACATATAAACATAATAAAATGTGGATATGGGTATATTAATTATGACATATTTGAAATATGTATATTAATAAATATGCACTATATATGTGTGTATATATATATGATAACATATTTCAAATAACATGTATCAACATATATAATAATAATAATTATTATTATTATTTTAAAAAATCAAATGTTTGGAAGAATGTGTATGCTTCTGACCCTCAAATCATGTTCTGGAGAACATGGCCTTCAAGAATACAGAGATTTAATATTTGTTAATTATATTAGCATTTGTGTTTCATTCCTGGTAGTGAAGCTGTCACATTTCTGGGCTTCACAGGTCTTTCTGTTCTCCATGTGTGCACAGAACAATAGTAAATTGCATTGTCTCAGATTTTATTCCTCATACTCCTGCCCTCCATTGAAATGTAACTGTGCCTTTTCACATAGGTGATCGCTGAAGAATTATCTGGCAATGATGACTACGTTGAGCTTTCCTTTAGTGCACGGAAATTAGATGACAAGGTAAGCCAACTGTTTTATTTTAACCTTACTGAATGAAAGAGGAATGCAGACAAATGTGATTTAATGAGACATCCTCCCCTACAGCTATTTTTGAAGTGCTAATGTTATTAAACATATTGGAGATTCTCAGATTAATCCTCATAATGAGGCCTTCGTCAAGTTGCATAGTAATGAAGGAGTAGAATTCCCAATGGAATGTAATTAGGAACAAGACAATTTAATTACGTGGAGACCTTGTGTATTTAAAATGCCAACAATCACAGCAGTTGGCTTCTTCCAACTTATCATAGATAATAACATTCAAGGCTGACATCTTGCAATATAAACTTGGGAAAATTTTTGAGCCTGGTTGATTTTTGAGCATGCTTCCCCCCACCCCTGGAGGATTTTTCCAGCTAATATATCAGATATCCAGAAACTTTATGCTTTTCATGTGTCCCTGGCAAAATGTTTTGGCCATTCAACCAGAGAAGATGGTCATTCATTAAGAAAATGTAATTTGTTCTAGAAATGATTTTGACAGTTTTATTTGTGCTCTGTTTTTATTTTAAAATATTTATACTTTACCTTATCTCTGAGTTTACATACCTCATAATAAAGGTCACAAAAATCTGGATGGACTCAAGATGGCAGCAAAGAGATATAAATACAACTCTATATCTCAGATTTGATCTTGTAGCTCTGAATAAATATATTATAAGATGTCACACATGATCTATCCACCTTTGACAAAATGGTAGTTTAGTTGCATTCTCCTAAAGCACATAAAAGTTAACTTGGCATTTCCTTATAAGGAACCCAAGTGAGAAAGCTAAGAGAATCTGGAAAGAGTGGTGTGAAGAGGGAGGCAGTTGACAAAATAAAAAGATAGGATAGGATAGAAAAAATAGATAATCAGTACAGAAAGACATGATACTGGTGGTTCTTATGACAAAGTAAACTCCAAATCATCATCATCATCAAGGCAGATAACAACAAGACCTGGCAATGACTAAGAGCAGGAAAGTTGAAGAAGGAGACAGAGGGGCTAATTCTGGCTGCACAAGACTAAGCCTTAAGAACAAATGCATATAAAGCCAGAATTGAGAAAACAGCAACAGACAGCAAATGCCACCTCTGCAAAGAAGCTGAAGAAACACTGGACTACCTAGTAATCTGCTGCAAGAAGGTTGCACAGACTGACTACAAACAATGGCATGACAAAGTAGCAACAATGGTGCACTGGAATATCTGCAAGAAATATCATTTGCCTGCAAGCAAGAACTGGTGGGACCACAGAACAGGCAAAGTAATGGAAAATGAAGAAGCCAATGTGCTCTGGGACTTTAGAATTCAAACAGACAAGCACCTGCCACACAACACCCCAGACTTAACAGTGGTTGATAAGAAAGACAAAAAAGTCTAGATAGTAGACATTCCAGAACCTGGAAATAGCAGAAGAGAAGAGAAAGAACTAGAGAAAATCACAAAATACAAAGACGTTCAAATAGAAGTAGAATGACTGTGGCAAAAGAAAGCAAAGAGTGCCAATAGTAATAGGTGCCTTGGGTGCAATTCCAAAACATCTGGAGCACCATCAACATTGACAAAATCACCATCAGTCCATTGCAAAAGGCATCTTTACTTGGAACAGCTTACACCTTGTGACAATACCTTTAATATCGTCATCATCTGCCTATCCCAGGTCCTTGGGAAGGATTCGATAGGTGGACAAAAATGCCAAATCCAGTCTAAACACCTGGCTGACTATGCAACCAACCATAATAATAATAATTTAAACTTATATGCCTCCCGACTTCCAGCAATATATCAGTCTGTAAATAAGCACTGAGCTCTGTTCCTGTATAGAAGCAACTTATACCTAGCTATCTGTTCATAATATGTTACTGTTACATAAATTCAAAAAGTTTAAATTTTTTACAAACAGTTGGTCTTCTGAGTAAGGCAGAATGTAAAAACACCCCCCCCATACCTAAAAGGTACTATGTTACGAGGACAAGCATTGATAAGAGAGAAGATAATGTCAGTAAATAAAATTTAATAATCAATGAATACAGTTGTGCAACTGATGGAAATAACACTCTTGTAATAGGATCATTGACTCCTGGTTTTTCTTGTTCAAACTGGAAAGAATGAGGTCATGAAACCCAGCATTTACATCCAGGCAGTTATTGAGATCCCTTGAGCCTTAACAGGTTCAAAGAATCCTGCCACTTTCCCATAGCCCTCCTGCTCAGTGGCTGAATCAGAGAGCCACCATTTTAATTTTCCAGGTTGCTCTTGAGCAAAGTTGCATGATGGGAAATTTACATGGTAGCTCTTGCTCAGTATTAACTAGGACACTGATGATGGTGAAGCTCACTACTGCTGCCATTTAAGCCAGTGAGGGCCCCCTGTTGTAAAAGGGAGGCCACTAGAAGGCAAAGTTTTGTCAAACCTGAAGCAAGCTTGGGGTTCTTTCCACAAATTGTCCACTTACACTCTTGCTGAGATTCATGTAGTCATTCATGAACTACAGCTTAGTAAACCTCCTTAAAGAATCAAGCCATATGGATCTGTACTTCTTGAGGTTCAGGTAGTTCACCTTAAGAAGTACCTGTGTTACAGCAAAAGGTGATCCTGTAAAAAGAACAGCTAGAAGACTTTCTTTTTTTAAAAAAGAATGTTGCTAATGCTGTATGAATATATGCAGCGTTTGCAGCACAGTCTGTGTTTGATTAGAAGGAAGCAGCAAATCTAATTAAAACTGCAAGCAATATTTAGGTTAGCAAAGTGTAATGAATCTGTAATTTGACTAAGGTGCAAAGGTTAATAGCATCCCTAAGTTAGGTACCTTTAATCACTCTAAACATCCAAGACCTTTGTTTTGTGCCTCATCTGAAAGGTGAATTATCCTTATTGGGAGGAGAACAGCTAGTTCTTGAGTGTGAGGTGTTTTTTTTAACCATTATGTTTAACTCTCCAGAGATCTAATGTAGTCACATTTTTAAAATAGTATGAAATTATAGAGATCTGTTATCTATAGTTTGTGAGCTTCTGGTCATGCAAAAAAGAAAAAAAAGGGGGGGGGGGAGAAAGGCATGCCCCAAAATACAAAAGAGCAGGTGCACCAATAGTTGATTTTTCTTTGTTTGCACAAATGCACTCCATAATCTGGTGAATACAATGCCTTGAAAAGAAGGCAGTTATCATTATAGTTATTAAGTTCATCAACAGAGTTTTTCCTAAAGATGTTCCAGACTAGAAGAACAGGAGCTTGATTCAACCGACTCTGAAGCAAACGAAGTTACGGATCAACTCTCCAATCAGTCATTCCAAGTTTACTACTCTCTTCAGATTGCCAAAATAAATGTAGCGAATTTAAAATCAGAACATTAAAAAAGGCTCTGACTGTATGTGACGTGAGATTTTCAGCTGAACACAAGCAGTAGCAGAAATCACTTCTGTTACTTTTTGGAATAAGTGGCCTGACGGAATCAAAGAGCAATAAAACATCATTAGAACTTTCTAGTAATTTAGCAATGACAGGAATAATACAATTATTGAAAATAGTTCACTTAGGCATCAGGAGTATTTAAGGACAGTTTGTGCATCTGTTTGCTGAAAAAGAACTGATTTACTGCTTCAGAATAATCAGGTAATACTTTCTTCTTTTTTTTTGAAACATCATTCCCATCCACCAAACTGCTTGCTCCAAGGTGCAAAATAGAGGAGAAATCACCTGGTGTCCTACTCTCCATCTCTGGTCTGCTGCTGTTATGTAAATAAAAGGGTTAAAGGTGGAATAACCAAAGACCAGTCCCTTTGGGACTATCCATGCTAATTATACCCAGTATTGTTCCCTCTCTGGCTCTGGAAAATTCTGTACCTTTGATACAGAAATATAGATATACAGATAATATGAATTCTTGTCCATTGTTTATGTCTTACACTTTTCCTGGTTTTCCTGCCTTTTATTCTGTTTTGCCAGTTAACTGTTTTGCTGTTTGCTGATGTTTAATAAAAAAAAATCAAGCTATATTTTTGCTAGCTGAACTGAGAAGCATGTGCGTTTGCTCTGATCTGAATATAGGGAGTCTGCTGGGTGAAAGCTAAACCAGAAAGTATCCACAGTAATTTTCCATGTACTTTTAAAACTATCGCTGGAGGCTATAAATTGCTTAAACATAATCCTCATACACTACATACATATACTGCTGACTTGGCAAAACAAACTGCTCATATTTAGTAGAGAATATCCCACTTTAGAGAGCCAGTTTGGTGTAGTGATTAAGGCATCAAGCTAGAAACCAGGAGACTCTGAGTTCTAGTCCCATTTAGGCACAAAGCCAGCTGGATGACCTTGGGCCAGTCACTATTTCTCAGCCCTAGGAAGGAGGCAATGGCAAACCACTTCTGAAAAACCTTGTCAAGAAACTGCAGGGACTTGTCCAGACAATCTCCGAGAATCGGACATGATTGAACTGATTAAAAAAAAATCCTAGTTTAGATAGGCTAGCCCTTTATTAGAAGACCTATTAGAGGTTGATCCTCCACTAGTATGAGATCTGTATTTCAGGACTGGGCAAACCTTTGGAAGAGACCTGCAAGCACAAGGCTAGGAGTTTCAACCCCACCCCCCCACCCCCAAATTTTGAAGTGGAATTTTTGAGCTGTTCTTCAGTTTCTAAAACTAAGTTAAATATATTTTAGAGCTTACTCAAGTTTTCATGTATTCTCCATTATGAAACATTGGGGTGCTCTGCTGCCAATGAAGCAGTTGTGATGAATTAGGTTTCTGGGGGTGCCAAAAAGTAAAGGTGGCCTTAGATTGCTGATCCCTGCTGGATTGGAAGAGCTGCCCAGCCATGTCCAGTGTAGAGACAGCCATAAGAAAAGACTATGATGGCCTTGGAATAGTCAATCAGTTAAAACCTGGAAAGTAGCTGGAACGGGAATATAGAGAATGTGATCCTTCACTGCCCGTCCCATAAACTTTCAGATCCCATTCTGCCCTTTGCTAACTGGAACAGTAATGACTATGTCCCACTTTCTATCAACATTTTCAGAGCCAAGGTCATCAATTCTAGCTTATATGCTGACCTCTACTGAGCAGTCCAATCCAAATTTTGAGAGTTTTGCTCTAAGTACCCTGTTGTACACCTGACTCTCTGTTGAGATTGGAATTGGGGCCAATCAGTTTGGAGACCTACATGAGACTTTGCCTGCTGAAATATTCAATTCAATTACATGTTTGTGGTAGCACCCTGATATCTTTGATTGTGAAGGACAATTTCATGTCCTCATGGAAGAGAGGGATTGTTGCACATTTAAAATATTATGGATGATCAGCTCATTATTTGATTCTGCTTGGCCCTGGGAGGACCTAGATGGAACTGAAACACTGGGCCCTTGGCATAGATATCTGGCATAATTTAACCAGAATGCCACTTTGTATGCAGCTGTTACACTTTGAAGACTGCCTCAAACCAAAAGCAAGGTTCTCACAGGGTCTTCATTAACAAGATTTATTGAGCTGAGACTGATAGAGTTATTTAGGAATCTCAGCAACTGATTATTGTTCATATAGAAGTAATTTATCCCCTGAAATATCTTAGAGTGGAGACATACTTCATTTCTCCTTAATGAGTTAATGAAGTGGGGAAGAGGCAGACTGTTTTGCAGATAATGGAAAACCGTGCAGCTGCCTGTTTACCAAACTGTCTCTCAAATTTTTACCAGCCTGTGAACCAACCCCTACACCAACAGGCTTGTATGGGAGACTGCTTTCTGATGCAAAATATTTAGCAAATATCCTTTACCTAACCCACAGGAGAACTTCTATCCTCGCCTTCTACAATGTGCTACCATCTAACAGAAGAAGATTTTGTAGTGTTCCTGTGCAAGAACAACTTTGCCCTAGTTCACTGGAGGAAATAGAAATATTTTCACACATTATCCTCTTGTCGTGCCTCTTCTACACAGCATGGCAAACTGAATTAATAATGCCTCTCTTAATCCATAGCCAATTTATTAGAGGATAAGATTTTTGCCTCTTCTAAACTGACAGATTATCAGATATCTTCAGGAGGTTCACTAAATTCATTGCACTTGCTATAGTTGTTAGATGTGTAACTGTCTAGGAATTTTGATAATTTGCTTGTCTTTTTAAGTTGATTTGCCCTTTTATGTATATTGTATTTATTACTCTTTGGGTGTTTTAATCTGAACACCCTGTTTCTTTTCTTTTTTTTTCTTTTGTTTGTTTTTTTTATTGTAAAGTCAAATACATAAATAAGCTTGTGATGGAATGAACTGTGACATATTCATTTCATCTGAGAGTTCAATGAATTTGGTATATGTATCTCTTCAGTATATATGAAAAATTCCTAAATGTGTTATCTGCATTAAGAGGTGTTATTAAGATTTTCTCTAGCAACACTTTGTATTCAGGTTGGATTGACCACTTCCCATCTACAGAAGGTGAAAACGTCTAGCTGGTCTTAGCTAATCTTCCAAAAATCTAAGCATGGACAGATGGTTAGTACTTGGTTAAAAAATCAAAGTAAAAAATCAGGACTATGGCTTTAGGTGGAAGACCTCCTGAAAACACCAGGGCTATGAGCTCAGCAGAACATTTTTAAAAAATCTAGAAGGTTGTGGCAACTCATATTCATAAAGTAGCCAAGAAAACTAAAGGTTGTGTCTATGTAATCAATTTGAGAGTGCCCAAACTTTTAAAAATGTCATTCCAAGTGGGGAGGAAGTCACCATTGTTATTTATTCATAAAATGATGGCTACTATTTTCATTTGTCTTGCCATTTTGAAAAGTCAGGCATAGATGAATAGAAGAATTCTACATTATCTGAAAGAGATAATTTATCTATCTATCTATCTGTCTGTCTGTCTATCTATACACACACATACATACATTATACACACATACATACATACAGTGGTGCTTGAAAGTTTGTGAACCCTTTTGAATATTCAATATTTCTGCATAAATATGACCTAAAATGTGTTCTGTTTTCCACAGAAGTCCTAAAGCTAGATAAAGAGAACCCAGTTAAATGAGTCAAAAACAAACTTGTTCATTTATTTATTGAGGAAAATGATCCAAAGCTACATATTTGTTTGTGGCAAAAGTATGTGAAAGTATTTGCTTTCAGTAACTGATGTGCCCTCCTTGGGCAGCAATAACTGCAATTAAACATTTCTGATAACTGTTGATCATAGGCTTGGATGAATTTTAGCCCATTCCTCCTTACAGAACAGCTTCAACTCAGGGATCTTGATGGGCTTCCTCACATGAACTGCCCGCTTCAGGTCCTTCCACAACATTTCAATAGGATAATGGTCAGAACTTTGACCTGGCCATTCCAAAACATTAATTTTCTTCTGCTTTAATCATTCTTTGGTTGTACAACTTGTATGTTTTGGGTTATTGTCTTGCTGCATGATTCACTTTCTCTTGAGCTTCAGTTCATGGACAGCTACCCTGACATTTTCCTGTAGAATATGCTGATACAATTCAGAATTCATAGTTCCATCAATGATGGCAAGCTGTCCTGGTCCTGAGGCAGCAAAGCAGGCCCAAACCATGATACTGCCACCACCATGTTTCACAGGTAGGATAAGGTTCTTATGCTGGAATGCAGTGTCCTCTAACCTATGAGACTACCTGGAGAAGAATCAGTTGAAGTAGGAACAGACGTTGATTGACAGATTAAGCAAGAATTGGCTTTTTCCCTTTTTAGTAGGCAAGCGAGAGAGGCTCAGTAGTGGAGTCTAAGGGCCTGGCAATAAAGAAATACCATGTTTTCAATTTCAGGATTTCTTCAGCAAATCTGATCCCTTTCTGGAAATCTTCCGAATGAATGATGATGCAACCCAACAGCTTGTTCACAGGACAGAGGTAAGCTGAGAAATATCACACACACACACACACACACACACACACACACATACTTAAATAAAATCTTTATTTGCAAACTCACAATTTCTATGAGAAGGTACCTTTCTGCCTGTGCCCCCCCCCCACCTTTTAAATTATTACAGCCACTGAATGATGCCATTCTTATTTGTGGTGCTACAGCAGAGATTTAGAGCCTTCAAAAATGCTATATGATAAATAATATTCTATCCTGTTCCCAGGATGTAACTTAAGAGGGGTGGCCATGCTAAATTAAAGAAAAGCCTGGTTGTGAGCTAGGGAAGCAGCAGGATATATTTCAGTTCCATTCTTTGTCACTGTCACAATCCCAACCCAGCTCCTCCTCTTCACGCTGGACTCCTTGACCCCTGATGCAGTTCTGAACCATCAGATCCTCACACTTGCTATTTGCATGGGTGGGGAACTTCTCTTGAAGCAAATGGAAGCTAATTTGCTAATTGATGTCCTCATGCTAATTGATGCCGGGCTCTTGATCTAGATCATGACCACAGTGAGGAGCAATGTATTTGACCTCTAAAATGCCGATCCTGTTCAGTCCTTCTGGTTGCAAAAGGTATATTGTGTACTCAGAAGGAAACCATATGTACAACACGATGTGTATTCTGGTGCTGATTTCTTTAAATAAGAGGAAATGTTTTTTAAAAATATTTATTTTTATTATATGTAAAATGATAGACCCCCACAAAACATATACCTTCTATGTACTAATGAAAATTATTCTTGCATATGCACATCATTTTATACAATTAAATTATTAACAGTTTAGACAATTTACTTAACCATAGGAAAAAAAAGATAGAAATTAAACCTAGAAATAAGTACATACAACCCAAAGTACTTAGTAATCTTGTAAACGAGACTAGGCTGTCAAAATGTTTGCTCAAATACAGAAAGAGCAGTGGGTTCTTCAGATTTTTAAAAGCACATGCAATTGTACAAAGGCTGCTTTTGACTGGAGTGGGAAGCTGTGGTGTTGCACTGTGCCATTCTTCTGCATGAATAGCATAATGAGCAAGTACTTTGATGCTCAAGGAGTAAATAATAGATCACTTAAATACTCTCTGGAAAAGTTCACAAATGGTGCAAGTGTTATGGAAAATTGAGTTATATTTGGATTGCATGCATACTTTGGATAGTACAAGCAACACATTGCAATTGATGCATTTTTTTTCCTCATTTTTCTGCTAACATGACCCTTTGAATGAAAATCAAGGAATTACAAAATAGCTAATAAAGTGTAATCATTCTTTGTGTCAACTTCTGCCTGTCCATTGATAAGATCATAGCACAGCGTACTGTGATCCTAGTATTACTTCCATGCTAGTGTAATGTAATGTTGCCAGCAGTGCTGTGGAATCATTATTTCTAGCACCTGATGAAGGGCATTTATTGTAGTAAAATCTTCTCTCCAAAAACTTACCTGGTATTTAAGAGGAAAAGTAGCTGCTTAGGTCTAAACAGAAAGAGAACTATTGGTACAGTGATCAGTTCTGGATGTCCTCACTCTGATTTGCAAAACCAAAAATGCAAACTGGGGAGACATATATGTTACAAGATGGCTTTGTGTAACAAAAATTGAGCCATTCTATTCCCATTTCTAATCTTCCACTCAAAGACAGTATATGGCTACTGAGCATGCCGTCTTCTCATTATGATGTTGTGGGGACTCCTTTTCTTAGGGGTTTCTCCATAAATATAGTTTGTATTCCAAGCTAACTAATATGTCCTCTTTGTTCCCCCATCTGGCCCAAGAGGGAAAAGGTGTCTGTGCTTATAGACAGCTCCCATCTTAAAACATTTGTTTGCCAAGTACTGTTGGTTCTGTGACTTCTTTCAACTATTACTTCGCTTTCTCTGTTTTCCCCATCCTGGCAGTTCTGATGTTAATAACATAGTACTGTGGCCAATTCTCATTGGACACATCCTGGAATATTCCAGCAGTGTTTGAATGGGAGAAATCATATGACAGACAGAGGACGTGTTGGAAATTCCCATATTTATTCTAAGCTTCCTTAAATGCCAACAGAGGGAATGAGAGAATTTCATGGAAACAAATCAGGATGAACTTCTAAAATCATGTAGTCCTGCCCTGCTGACACAGAAAACCCATTGGTGGAACATTTCCTAATAGATAGTCATCCAGGCTGCTTGAAAATTTGTAACAAGAAGAGACTAAGACAGTCTTTTCCATCAGAATGTTTGTTCTAACATTTAATCTAAGTTCTTTTCCTTGTGTTTAGAATTCATATTGTAATTTGAATTCTCTGGAGTAACATCAGTGTGGAATCCTCCCATACATTTTTAGATAATTATCATAATAACTATTAACTGTATCTTTCCCAGGCTAAACATACCCATCTCATGAACTGCATGCGACTCCTCAACCCCATTTTTATGGCTCTTAGGAATGTGCTGCTAAAATATAGTGGCAAAATAATAATTTTGGATTGTTTAAATCTTAGGGGGAGGAGAGAAGAGGGTTGATGAAATAAATCCTAAAATAGAGGCGTTGAGCTTTCAGTAGACAAGGCGCCTATGTTGAGTAAAAACAAAACACTGACTTCTCCCAAAGCCTCAGTAACTGAAAATTTCAACTTCAGGCTCTCCATGATATAAATGCATTTCTGCCATGCCTTCTGTGGCCAATGGAAGTTTAAAAAAAAATGTGTCTGTGACCCCAAAAAAGTTGTTCACCCCTGCTTTATAGAGATATATTTCCAAGTTTCCCACATCTTTTTTAGTGTTCTTCATTTTATCAGTGTCTTTCTTACAATAGGGTGTGCCCAATGTGGTTTTAGTCATCCAAGTGTTATCAGTGGGACATAAGAATGAAGCCAGAGTTCAGTAATATAAGGAAGCACCAACAGGAAGGGGGTAAATTTCTCCCTATTACTACTAAATACACTCCTGGAGTGAATCTCTTTTCTCTGCTCTTGATGCTTCATATTTTTAAATCTCTCTTTTCAGTGGTTCAGGGTCCCTGTTTTCTCATTCTGTGTTCTTGGTTTTTGTCTCACCCAAAGCAAAGGAAATTAGTTAAAAAGATTCCCACTGACTCTAATGGGCTTTGGAAAGGAGCCTAATGGCAAAAAAGGTCCTGCAAGAAACCTCAGATGTCAAAGCCGTTGCTTAACAACTATGCTCTGTATTGATTAAATCAATTGACTTTGCCAAGTACATAGCCATCAAAAAGTATATCAAAAAGTGTAACAAAATATGCCATGCTTAATTATTCCTAAAGCTCTATTATCCTTGCCAATTAAAAAAATATATTTATAATAAAGCACCATTTCTAAATCATTATTATTGCTTTGCATTTTAGTTTGAAATAAGCTTATAACTCTTTTCCTTTAATTTCCAGGTGGTGATGAATAACTTAAACCCAGCTTGGAAGGCATTTAAGGTGTCTGTAAATTCCCTTTGCAGTGGAGACCAAGATCGCAGACTGAAGGTTTGTGATCTCTGAACTATGAAATAAATAGTTTTGCATTTTAAAAAAAACTCCTCTTTAAAAAGAATTGAAGTTAAAGACAGGTATTGTTTTTAAAGAAAGCTTTATTTTTTACATAAAGTCATACCATCTTACATATTTATTTATCCTCAGCCAGTTTGAATTAAACTTTTCACAGCTTTATATTCTCTTAATAATGCTGAATAATATTGTGAAGGTCTCTCGAAGTAACACCACTTAAGCCAACAGAACTGAAATATATCAAACTAAATTAAGAAATCTAAATATAACAGTCAGATTTGCAAATAGGCTGCTCAAATGCTAATACATCTAAAACATAAGATCATGGAAACATAATACAAATTAAGGCTCAGTTCCAAAATCCTATTTCAATGAGTGACTTTGGTCTTTAAATATGTGAAATCTACAGATTCAAATTAACTATTTGGCATATACCGATTTGTTACCAGTTTCAATATCTCATTTACTGGTGTGAAATATATTCCAGAATGTGCAACCATGGATTATGTTAGTATTATGTTTCAAGTTCAAAATCTTGCATACCTTTATTTAGGGCAGATGGTAAACCCATGCATTAAATATGTACATGATATTTCAGTGCACTGAAGTAAGACTATAGCATGAGTAAGCATATTTTTAATGTCCATTAGCTGCAGAGGGCAATATGATAAATCAAAATGGGAAGGAACACTTCATGCACTAGGATGGGGCCAGGATTTTTCATGTATCCCAGGACGTTTGGAGGAAGCCTATGCGTGCTGGGGGAGGGGGGCTTTGATTATTTAAGTGTGTTAAGCCTATTTTAGGGTTTGTGTGTGTGCATACCTTTGAGTCAGCCTTGACTCCTGGTGGCAACATGGCCACGTCCCTGCAGATTTGCATGCTTCTCACTAGAAGATGGTAGGAAATCACCTTGCCAGTCTTGGCAAGTACAGAGATCCCAGTGCCAGAAAAGGAAGTTTGGGTCCTTCCTGGACTAAAGGAGGAAGATTACAAAGCTGCCTATGGTTTCTTTCTCACAGTTCATTCCTCCCATCCTTGAGTTAGCAAAAAAGTATGTTGACCTATCTTCCATGCGATCAAAATTCCCATAAGCCTGCCATAAATAGCCAAGACAAAGTGGCAATAGAGTTGCATTGCCCAGGATAGGGGAAGAGGCATGCCTCCATGCAGAATCTGCATTAAATGGATGTCTTTTGAAGTATGTGAACAGTGGGAGAGAAGAAGGGATACAAAACAAGTACAAACTGCTCTTGTTTCACAGGTAATATAGTCTTCCTTTCAAGATATAGAACTACTTGGTGTTACGTTAATTAAAAAAAAACAGAAAAAGAACAGTTGTGCAGACTATTCTGCAACTCTGCAGGCAACAACAAACGTACTGGACTCTGGTTAATATTGCTCCAAAAGGAATAGGTTAGGTGAGCTGCCTGTACAGTTTTTGTCTTCTGTATTATTTCTGGGTTTTGAGGAAAAGTTAGTGGATGTTCTAAGCCCAAGGCCTACTTGAGCTGCTGGGTCATGCCTTGCCCGGTAGTTCTGCCCTTTCTTTAGGCCTCTACAAATATGATATGATGAGGGCTCCTGTTCAGCACAACATGAGAAAACTCAACGTCTGTCAAGACTCTGAAGAGAGAGGAAGTGTCTTTCATAATTCATTGAGCTTTAGAGCAGGCAGATGCTACTCATGCTGATTTGGCCTACTCTAAAGCTCAGCGTGACAACAAATGAAACCCTTCCTTCAGAAGGGATCTGTCATAATAAAGTAATGGGGTGTGGAAGAAGCAGAGCGACTTGCACTGCTTCAGCCGGCTCCAGAGGTCAGCATGCTATTAATTCATTAATCAGGTATGTTTTTATATGGCTTTCCAAGGAATCCTTTCAAAGCAGGGCACAAAATAAAAATATTGAAAGTCAGCATTGAAATAACAATGAATTCAAAACAGCTAATTTAGAAAAATATGTTTTAAAAAGGTGGGTAGAGAGGAGAGTTTTAAATCCCCATGCATCTAAAACATTCACGCATCAGGGAAATGCCACTATGACAATTGATATCACCTGCCATTCTGTTCTCTTCCACCCTATTTTTCTGATAAGTCAAATTTGCATATTGGGGGGGCTATTTTTTAATTTCATTTGAGATTTATATCTCTCTTTTCCTCCATGAATGAAAAGTGACACACATAGCTCTTTTTCTTCCAATTTTTACCGACAACTACAGTTCAATGCGGTGAGGTAGGTTGCACCAGGAATTGATGACTGGCCTGAAGTCACCCAATGAACTTCTATGATGTCTCCTCCTCCGTATCCAGCACCTTAAACACCATACTATATTGGCTCTTTATTTCTCCTAATAGACACATTTGCTCTGCATGTTTTCCTCATATGCACATTTTGCAAACAATTTCTTTTAATACAAAGCATTATGTATATTCACAGATGTACACACAATTTTATGGACACTTTTTCCAAGTGTGTGCATTTTTGTATATGTGTTTTGTTTGGAAAACTTCAGTATATAACCTGGGAAACACTGTACAGTATTTACGATAATTGTATTTTGATCAACATATTGGTTCAGGAAAGCAATGCTTACATTAAAATGTGTGGCTAAATAATTTCTCACCCACACATACATGGGTGGATCACTTCCATTCTTGCCATAGCTAAATGAGCTGTTTACAACCCATGTCAGACTGTTAGCTCTTTTAAATGGCTCTTTCCTTTTTGCTCAGTATATATTTATAAAGAAAAGCAATTCTAAATGTTAAGAGGCCTCTTTGTGGATATTTCCTTCTGGCAATGGTGCTTATCCAAATTTGTGTACATTCAGGGATCTATGTCAGGTCCATTGTGTCATAAAAACATAATTCATACACACATTTACTGTAGTCAATTAATACACATCTGAAACACTTTGAAGATTAAAGGTCCATGTAAGTGATCCTTAATCACTTTAGTTTCTCAGGAGTTAGTTATCAAAGATATAAAATAACTGAAAAGCAACTCTCTACTCTGAATCTCCAAGGACTTTTCTGTTTTTAAGAAATGGCAGCCCGAAGGTGAAGGATAGCAATGAAGAACAACGATCTGTGGCAGAACTAAGGCTTTTGGAGACAACACAACTTTACTGTCTATGCTTGGATGATTCTTGCAGGGCTGACAGGATCCCCTTTCAACCTGACAAGATCCTTTTCCCACAGCTCCACTATATTTTAGAAACGCAACAGTAACAGCCTCCTGTCATGATGGAGAGACTGTGAAATGCAAGCACCAAGCGCTGGAAGTAAACAAAATGATTGACACCTCATACTCCATGCCTGCAGACCTTTTAGAAGTCAGCAGGGTTTCCCAATGTTATTTCTAAAGCTGGACAGAAAAGCAAGACAAATGGCTTTTCAAAAGCAAGCATGGTGTGGCAGGGTTGCCTCTTTTAAAACAAAACAGAATAGGCTTCATTTTTCACCCTGGGCAATATTTTAAGGCAGTGTTGCTGGCTGGGGAATTCTGGAAGTTGAAGTCCACTCATCTTAAAGTGGCCAAGTTTGGACAACACTGTTTTAAGGAGACGCAATTAGCAGCTCTGTCTAATTAACCACTTTTGAAAGAGTAACCAAAGCTCAGGTAACATTGTATTTACTCAATAGGATGATACATTTTCTCATGCCCAAATAATTATCTGGGATGGGTGTCTGTGTGCGTGAGCATCATTTGCTCACCAATTACTGTAGAGACCCGGTGAAAACAAAGAAATGGGACATGATGCCTTTGAAGATTGACCTGCAGTTTATGTTTTGGAGGGGCTGCTGTAATTTCTAAATAGACCTTTTCTCTTTTTTCTTTGCTACCCTCTTTGGTTACCTTTTCCCTCCACATCATCTTTATCCAGTTGGGTCCCCTCACCCCACTTCTCTTTCCTTCTCTTCTCCTCTCCCTCGTGTCATCTTTTTTGGTATTTCTTTTATAAGGAAGGAAGGGAATGTGGTGCAGAAGTGTGGGCGTGGATGTGACAGAGCAGATGGGGATCAATTCAGTTTGTCAGTGGGGTAGATAGCTTATTTTACAGGGACTTTTTCCCCCAACCTCTCTGAGACCTTTTTTGGGTTGTTAGCTTTTGGCAGGTACAGTGGAACCTCGGTTTACCAACGTAATTCGTTCTGTGACTCTGGTC